GTGGGAGAGTTCACATACCTGGGCACCTACGGCGAGGTCAAAGCTATGACAAGCTCGCAGATTCTAAAGAAAATGTTGGGAGATCACCTAGTGGAACGGCTTAACTCACCAGTACCACTCTCCGAAGATAGATCTTAATGTCGGCGTCACGGTGCGCCACATTCATTTATCATCGGGACTGTTTACTCTTGAAAGAGAATGGTCGATAGATGCTATGATGATATGCGATTAGTTTGGTAGAACAATCATGCGATTCGTCCGCGTGCTTAGGAAAGGAAGAACAGTAGACAACCTAGTAGTACAATTACCAAGTTCATTCCATTTCCATCCAGGGTCCTAGCAGGGATTACGGAACTGTGCTGCATGCGGTGTATAAACTTTAATCCATTAGTTATTGATTATCCCTAGGAGTCGAGGGTATATGGAGGATATAGTGGTTGAAACGTTGATTGTTGTGAGAAGCGCGGGACTGATTCAGACTCATGTCATTCGAACAGATATTTGCGTCTGCTACGTTGGACGTCGCTGTACCAGACACTTCCCTCGACCTTCCCTCACAAGAGTTCGTTAATGACTGGTTGAGCCGCGTAAGAACTGGATCGGTTGACCGGAAACAAACATTCTTTGGTGTGTCCTCAGATGAGAACTAGGCTGGCCGCTCAAGCTATATCGATTCAGACGAACAATTAGGCGCAGTTCTCATCCTTCGCATAAAGCAGCCGGCATCCGAGTCTGACACGCCATCACAATCTTTACTGACTTTTTTGGCCCATCTGCAAGTGTCCTTCGAGGCAACCTACATATCACCAGTAGCACCGGACGCTCCCCAAGATCCTCGCATAAGTCTTTCCACTCCTCCAAGAGGCTCTTCCCTGCCAAAGGGCAGCTCACGATTGAGCTTGCATCCATCCATATTCCCACCCAACACGCCCAACCCAACTCCTGCTGCTGCCGAGCGCGACCGGAAATATGTTACCTCAGAAGGCACGCTTTTACTTGCCGGTATCTGGGGACAGAGCTCTTCTCAGGACGCGAAAGAGGGGTTTACCTTGCTGTGGTCTTCGGAAGAACAAGTCTGGGTTGCCGTTTATTCTTTTTCGTTGACTGTCTGTAAGGACCATTTGAATCGTTCTGGACAAAATTTTGCTCACGTATGGAACTTTAGCTTTTCTGCGCCTTAATGTGCCACATCCGCTGCTTTGTTTAACTGTATCGGCTACACTGCGTGATAAACCCATAACGTCTGCTTCGTCTAAGCACCCTCTTGCTGCCTTCTTCGCCAAGCTTGGTAACCAATCGAGTTTGATTGAACCAGACTCTCCCGGGCCTGTGAATGGCGATGCCCAAGAAGATGCACCAGAAGCAGAGCTCAATGGGTTCGAAGAAGCAAACTTACTTCAGGGCTTACACGCAGGTATGTGTGCGCCTCCTATGAGCCTTCAGCTCATTCGCTGAGAATATAATAGGTCCCACCTTCGGTATGGGAACCGCGAAGGTTACGTTACCCTCTACTCGTCTAGGAATAGTGTCGCGGCAGAAGTTATTCTCCTTACCACCAATCAACTTGCCGACTCCTGAGCCTCCTGAGCCTTCTCCGATGACAGCGTTACGTGCAGTTCATCCGACCCTTCGGAAGTCATTTCGAAAAACGCTACACACGGTATCTGGTTTCCGCGTGCGTATGCGCACGGTTTTTGTCCCCTACGTGCTGCTGCCTAGAAAAGCGGGCTCATCGTTTAGCTCTATATCTGACGATGGAGAGGACGAACGTGACAGAAGAGAAGCGGGAAACGAGGAAAGGACGGTCGTTCTTTGCGTCGAGATCGAAAACTCTGGTGAATCGGGTCCAAACACCGGCTTTCAAGTCGAGAAAGTGGATGTGGATGTCGGCGGGGAAGACACGGAAGCACATTTAATCGGATGGGACGATGCTTCTCTTAAGAACATGGACGAGAATGCAATTTTTCCTCTCCGGATTGATGCATGCGCGCAATATAACTTACTATATGCTGTCTGGTTCCTCCATCCCCCAGACGAACTAAAAGGCCCAATGCTAGGTCGGCCGCGGAATAGTTTGAACGCCAGTTCCGACCTACAAAGAGCTGTTGCTATACACATCCATGGGAAACCGTACGAGAAACAAGTACAAGACGATGTCACATCTCCATCTGCTGTCTCATACCCTACTCACACCTTTTCATCTCGTTGGAACTGTGTGTTGGATTTGGGAGCACGCGAGCCTCAAACTCTTGATGCTGTTGGCGAAATTGATCCATTGAGCCCAGCTGGCAGATACCCCAACGTGCTTCCTGAGCCTCCTTCTCCATTCCCATTATCCGGCTCCAGAGCAGGCGGTTTCCTCTCTCCTGGATATTCGACGCCTGGGACAACCCCTCGTTCCGCTCAAATGGCAGGAACCCAACGGTTATCATTACCAACCCGTGCCATCTCCCCACCCAACAGGACCCCCAGTCGATACAGTGACCAACAGGTATACTCGCCTACATCATCAAATAAATCATCCTACCTCCTTCCTTCGCAATCGTTGGCTGCCGCGGCCCATTTCCTCCATTCACCGACAACGTACGATCCTGTGTTCTCGCCAGGGTATCAGTCTGAGAGCGGTTCGCAATTAGAGCAGCCGCCGCTGACTCCAGCGTATCCTCCACACAGTCCTTACCAGCCAAGTCCTTTATCACAAGGGCCAATTATGCCACAAGGAGCGGGAATCGTAGGGCCAAGCGTTGAAACCAGACGTGAAAGGGGTTCCGGTTTTGGCCCTCCATCTTCAGCACTTCCAATGAGCCCTGCACCTGGCGGCGATGGAAAGGCACCTTTAGTAGAGCAAGCGGTATCAAACAAGGTGTTGGACAAGCTGGACAATGGCGAGTCGATTGTTGTCTCCGTGAGGTTGATGTCACCTCGGGACAGGGAAGACTGGAGAGACGATGAAGACATCGAGGAAAAGATTTTCCCTCTGTCAAAGTTTACTATCGAAGTTTTTGTGTTCAATCGTTCGACGTGGACTCGACGATTCGAGCTCAGCTGTCCCAGTGCCGCGAGGATGAAGAGAAAGGAGAGGATCATGTCACAATATGGATACGATACAGTTGATGATGGTAAAAACAAGTTGGATTACCCTGGCATATTGCCGGTGGACAACAGAGTGCGGATAGGGTACGTGCTGGCGAATAAATTACAAGGTGACGGCTGACATTGTGTAGTCCTCTTCTGCCGTCTGCTTGCCAAACAGTGAGGATGCAGTTCCTTGCTGTGACACCTGGAGTTCATGCGATCGATGCCTTGACATTGACCGACATTGAATCTGGATACTCGGTGAATCTGAGGTAGGAGATATTTTACGCAATTGGACAATTAATCTAAACAGAATTATCCTAGATCTGTCATGGATGTCGTCGTGCACGAATATACATCGTAGTCTGCTCTATATGTGTACTAGCCATTGGTGTTTGCTGTAGCTTTATCCTAATGTCTATAAATAACTTCAACGCCAGCGATGACAAAACACAGTAAGAACAATACTGCCTCTTCCATTTTCAGCTATGCCGAGTATAAAAAGCTGGATTATGGAACGAAAAGAGTAAGCAAGTGCTCCCTGTTGCGGGAAACGCTAACAGCTTATCTTGCCATTTAGCAACGCCTAGGAAATGAATCCATGCGTAGTTTCGATGCTTGCGCTCTCTGCCTGAACAGAGCTCGGGAACCAGTTACGTGCAACGAAGGGCACCTGTTTTGCAAAGAATGCGTTTACACTGATCTTTGTGAGCACCTATTCTTTGGAGCTATGCTACAACTTTCTGTCGGTCCTTGTCATTGTCGTGAAATCTCACATGAACAGTAACTCAGAAGAAAGATATCAAGAAACAGAAAGACAAGTTAGAAGCATTGAGACGTGAGGCTGAGGAGGAGAGAGAACGGGCTCGTGCAGCCGCGAGGGAGCGAGTGTTGCTCGAGTTTGAGAAGGGGCATTTAAGTCTGGCAACCAGTTCTACAATCGGCACGAAACCCACCGCGTCCTCATCCTCTTCCGAATGTGAGCCTTTCTGACCTCTCTCCGGCTGTCCGTTAGTTGACAGGACTTATATCACTTGCCATGCAGCCGCAGCAGGGACAAAACGGAAATTCGAATTTGATACCTCTACTGTCGAAACGGTGGCCAAAGAAGCTGAAGAGACTGCGCTTCGCCAAATCGAAAAGGAACAGGCGGAAGCGTTGAAGCACAAGTTGCCGGATTTCTGGCTGCCTTCGTTGACGCCTACGTATCAGTCGAGCGGTCCTCCTCAGTCTTTGAGTGATGTCAAGGTGCAGACAACATGTCGCGGCGGCAACCCGCCTCATCATCTTGCGTGCGTTATCGTCATTACTTTGAATCCTGATGTTACTCATTTCTGTTACTGTCAAATGGGGTAGCTTGAAGAACCTGTTTTCGGTTAACTTCACCTTGTACGAATCAAACGCCGCCTCCTCGTCAAAGTCCGCAAGTGCCGAAGCAACACCAGCGGAAGGAAGCAAAGCAAAAGAGGACGCGGAGCCTATGTGCCCTTCTTGCAAAAAGCGGCTATCAAATAATATACTCATTTTTGGTGCGCCCCATTCATCTGCCTGGTACGATTCATTGACGGTATCGCGGTTAGTTATGAAGCCTTGCGGGCATGTAACGTGTAAGACATGCGTGGATACCCTAATCCGCCCCTCGATGCAGTGTATCGTATGCGATACACAACTGAAAGACAAGGACATTGTTGAGCTGAAGCGGGAAGGTATGTTCATAACTGTTCTTCCCGCCGGCACGGCTAACGTTGATGCATAGGAACTGGGTTCGCTGGTGGTGGAATGGCAGAGACGTCGAAAACCGGCGTCGCGTTCCAAGGATAGTGTCCCGCCTAATATAAATTGGATTTTCGTTACCCATGTAGTAAAATCCATTCGATCTCTTCTGATCAATTGCATATCTTCCTTTTGCAGTGGATAAGGAGCATGGCCGAATAGCTCAGTTGGTTAGAGCGTCGTGCTAATAACGCGAAGGTCTTGGGTTCGACCCCCACTTTGGCCAGATTTTTTTCGTCAGCGCTCAGCCCCCAAGTGACCTAATGATGTTGAATTTTCGGTCCTATTTAGGATCACCTTCTGAACTGCCTCATGGCGTTAGCCTCCCAGGGAAGCAAAGCCCTGATCATACTACTACTAAATCGCGGTCATTTGACCTCTTTTATCTCTGAACTAACGCCAAGGACCGCATGGTTGGTTACGTTTCCGGAAATACCGCAAACCATACCCAAGGGGGACTCAATATCAACCTGGGACCGTCAAAAAAAATAATACAGATCACTCACGTAAAGGAGATAACATGATGCCATTGGTTGGTAGGAGAAAGAGGCATCCTTGGATGTCAGTCCGAGGACTGGTCACCCTTATGTCAGGAAAAAGCTCCGGTCTCCAAGGTTCGGCTGGATGAGATTAGGATTGAAGCGCTTAGATCTGAGGTTGTGCACGCGTCGCGTATCATATTTGAAACCCAATGCAAGTACTTAGTGCTATCTATCTATCTATCGAAAGTTGAAGTGGAACGCGAGATCTGAGCATTGCGGCAGACAAATGAGTTATGTAGCAGCATTGCTTGCACGTGGTCAACGTCTTTCCATGTCGTCGTGTTCCGTCAGTCCAGCCGTGTCTCTACCAGACAGTCCCCTCTCAGGTTCAGGATCTTCATTACCTTCAGTCTCTTCCTCTTTCTTCTTCAGCTCTGCAGCAGCGAGTCCACCTCATTCCGCCCATCTCGATGCTTACACTCATAATCCCATCACTCACCCTCCCAACTGCCCTCCCCAGATCAACTCCCTATGGTCAGACTCTCGGAGACCTGCGCGTCCTAGTCCTACTCCGAAAAGGCGCAGATCCCGGTCTCGTATCTTCTCTCCTGCTTGACGACAACGAGGACGTGGTCGACGTTGGTCCCTGGGAGGACGGCCCGCACGCCCGGACCATCAAAGCCTCTACAGACTGGCTCGAACACAGCGACGCACACGGTCTGGAACGATTCGAACCTCTCAGAAATGTTGAATTTACCGAGTTTCCGGCATACGAGTCGGATACAGACGTGAGTCTCTTTCCTTAGCGCCCGTTCATTTCATCCACTAATCTCGCGCCCAGGTCGATGAGCTCGTACAAAACGTAATATCTTACGTCCACAGACCTTTCCAATCTGTGTCAGACGTCCTCCATCCTGATTCTCGCCCGTCCGCAGTCCTCTCTAGCCTCCTTTGCTCGCCTTGCTCGCCTCTCCACACGGCCCTCCTGTTACTCCTACCCCATGGTAAGTCACATCCGCCGCCACCTCCTTCCTCGCTAAAATTGTCTCTTACAGGCAGATCTCTCGACAATCTGGATCACCGGATAATGGACCAACTTGGATCACATATTCCCATAATAACTCTCTCATCCGATTCCCACCTTCCCGCGCTATCCTCTTTTCAACCCCGCTTTTTACCCACTCTGCGAGCAGGTCTATTCAGGTCCCCCGAAACCCTGGCCCTATTACGTTCTGAAGCCGCTGACAGATTCCTGCGCTGGCGCGAGATCGAATGCGCAGTAGCTGACATTTGCTCCGTTCGGTATAGTCCCAACGACACCCTCGCTTCGTCCTCCTGGGACAAGGAGAAATGGGAGTCCGAGTGGATGCCTTCCTTCTCGGCGGACGTTGCAAAACGTCTCAATACTCCCAAGACCTGCAGTTTTGCAGAGTCGTTTCCCCCTCCCGCTTTCGGTAGAAGCTCTATTTACGACCCCTTGCATCTTCCTTCCTTGCTTGTATTTTCTATATCGCTTTTAGGCCCTCTGAAAGAACGCCTTGAGGATAGTCTCTCCTTTTTCTGGGACGCTCTCGATCATATCGAAGTCAAAGCTGCCTTGATAGGCGGCTTTCTAGTCGGTATCGGTGTTGGATTGATCATTCGATAGCGCACAAACAATGAATGTATTATTGCTCGGGTCTGTAACCATTAGTTTGTTCAAAACGCTGAACATTTACAACAACAACTATTACGTAGCTGTACAGTATTGAACGAAGTATAACTAAAGTGTAACTACTATTAATACAATATTAGGGACAATTAAACAAAGGTATTCAACCTGTCCGTGTTATATTATAACGTTACTGTGAGGCCGCTCTCAAAGCGTATCATGTGAGACAGTGGAAAGGAACGCGCTGAAATCGAAATCAAAAGACGGAGGCTGCACTTGATGAGTGTGCGGGTGCCCTGGGAAGAGCATTAAATCGGTGTTTTCGTAATATTGCTGAGATGGAAGATCGGGGAAAGATTTCTGTTGTGGAATATCAAACGATGGGAAGGGCGTAGGATCGTAATAATCAGTGTGCTGGAATGAGAGTGGGGGATCAATGGGTACACTTTGTATCGGGGTCGTCGGTGCATCAGAAGAACATGGGCTTGAACAAGCCGGCCACGTGTTAAAATGCGTGAAAGACGGGTTGACCAAGAGCTGGTGATGATCTGGCGAGCTCGGCTCTGTGCCTGGTTGTTGGAATCCAGGGAGGATGGGTCCGAGCAGCTGCTCATCTAGCGGCGAAGGAGGGGCGTAATATCCGCTGGCGCAGGTCGTGGCAGACAACTGGTGAAGTGGACGCTCTCGTAGTCGACTGGAGAGGGTGATACTGTCATCGGGGCGCAGACGGTGTCGATCGTCAATCGAGGTAGCATCATAAACTGGTGATGATGCTGTCCTTTCCTGACCCGTTCCTCATCAACTGGGGCAGAAGACGAGCGGGCAAACTGCTGCGCAGTGATAGGCTCCTCAAACTTGGTCACGACTTCCATCTTGTGGTGTCTGTCAAACTCCTGCATCGCAACGTCGAGGGTACCGCCCTTCTTGCCTTTGACAAGCAGCTCGGCTATTTTCGCACACCGCTTCAAATCCTTGGGAAAGACTTCTCTGACGGTCCGCTTGCCTGGTTTGCTTTTGCCCTTGGCATTAGGGCGGAACGTGTAACCAGGGAACTTGCGTCGGTGCTCCTCTTTAGCGACTCTCGCCTTCTCATGCCAAACTTGACGCTCTTTTTCGGGCAGGTTTTGCCAGGTCAGTCCGATGATCTTGGACAGCGTACTGTGGTCGGTCTCTACCTCGGCGGAGACATGCTGACTGCGGATAAATGAGGATCTGAAAAGAATGAATGCGTTCGGGGGTCGGGGGATATGGTCCTCAGCTTTCCGCTTGCTGTGGCCGTGTCGTCGGACTGGCGTCGATTCTTCCGGGCACGGGAAGAGCATAGAATCGTTTTGGGGTAGGTCAAGAGGTTCCGCCTCTTCTGTCTTCATAAATGTGCCAGGAGTTACGTTAGGCGCAAACAAGAGTGGTGTCTCCAGCTCAACCGGTGACTTTCTCATCATGTCAGAACCTATCAGGTGACATGGTCAATATCGGCGGGAGCGAGAGTAATAGAGAACATACGTGTTGTACAAGAGGCCTAAGAGGGAGATAAAGTGGAGGCCAAAATACGAAACAAGAATGTACGTGCGCAAGAAGGCGCCAGAGATGACCAAGGAAGAAAAAGGACCCATCTTTTTATAAGACAAACGCATCATAGACGGTTAGAGAGATAGTGCGGAAAACACAAAGCTTACCTCTTTCGGTATCACTCCGAAAAGGAAGTATTACTTTCTCTCACCGCTTCTGATTTCATTTTATTCCTGTCTCCCGCCGTTCTCGCCTCGCTTCCCGATGATGGTTGTATTGCTGCCGTCGAAATGCGTTCAGATAGCATCTTACATCCAGTCAGGTTCTTCGACAAAAAAACACCAATGTTGCGTTGCACTTAGAAAACGACGTCCGAACATGGTCATCCTTTGTCGTTACTATTCTTAGCTGTGATTGGCTGCAGGCGACAGATCTGTCAATTCAGCCACTGGTCCGCCTTGGTCCCCCATTTGACAGGTTGGACTAGCTCGTGACCCATAGTAACCACCACGCATTCAACGGCACAAGCTATGTTCCAAAATGGAGTCGCCCTGCAGGCTAGCCTGACATGCCAGTCCCTGGCGTCCGTGTCGTTAAAGATTTCGATGCCAGATCTGGGGCTTCCCTCCCTACCGTGCCCGGTCATCCATCAGTGTGCCTATTATCTTCCTACCGACAACGGTGCCGCTACAGCCTGTGCATTTGTAAGTACTCACGATGACCGATAACAACGGTGGTACGGGCGTTGGTCTAAATACGATGGCGTAATCTGTCAAATGGGCCAAAATGTGGACAGCCGGCATTTTCCTTGGATCCTGCTGCCCTCAAATCTCGCCGTTCGTTCAGCCGACCATCACGACCGCTGAATCTCGCCGTGCGGTCGGCAGCCCTGCCTTTCTGACGCATTGTCGCCTCGATTAGGAAAGGAGTAATGAACGTGGGACCCTGCCTGAGAAATGCGATTCGGATTAGTCCATCGCTGCCCGCTCCATGCTAGATCCGATAATCAAAACTAATTCAATGTGTTCGTCTTTACGAAAGAAATCAATCACTTTCGCATATTTATTATTGCTCACTCATGATTGACTAGTCTCATGGTACATTTCCGCAAGCGACAATTGCCGGTTGCCAACGTCGCCTCTCGTCCTCGATCCTGCCCTCCTTGTTTTCTAAATCTCTATCTCCTGGGTAAGTTTTCCATCATTGCATCCGATGTCCACCTCTCTCTCTTTCCCTTTTCGTCGCGCAACTAAGCCATGCCGTCCCTCTTGTATTCTTCGGCGATGCGCTCGATCTCTCCTCTCAGGTCCTTTGCCTTGGTGATAAGATCAAACCAGCGCTCAATGTCGAGAACATGTGACGTGCAAAGTGTTGCGAGCCGAAATTGACCGATCAAGTTCGCGTCCCTGGTAGAGAAACCTACTAGGTGAATTCACCCGACGACCTTTGACTCAGTCACCTACCGTGGAAAGGCTGCAGAGGTACGTTATGGGTTCTATAGTGTCCCTTAAGATCTCATTATTACGTTGAACTAAGGTCGTAGACCAAAGATGCAGGCTACGTCCCAAAAGGTAAGGCGGGCCA